ATGTATGCGTAGGATATTATTTCCTTAAAGAAAGATGACAACCTATATTTGAAGGATAAGACTAAGTTTTTGAGATTCATAGAAAATCTTACATAACACCAATTCAATTAATCCAACAATTCTATTGCAATAGTATACATATTTCAATCTTAAGACATGTGGCTGAAAAATTAAAGATAAGCTAGAAAAATTAATGAATTATTCAAATAACTCAATTGTTGTATAAATTAAAATATTCATATGAAATATTTATATTCAATATTATTAAAAATCAAGTAATGCAGATATTGAAATGAATTCTCATTAGCATAATTAACATCTACTACAATCAATTCCAAATATGCACAAAGTCCTAACTTCTAATTTGCAGAAATGCAAAAGATACTTTTATCGATTTCGCAGTATATAAATGAAAGGAAGAGTAATAGAAATTCATTATTAAAAATAACATATAATGAATTGTACTTATCATATCAGAAATCCAATAACATTTGTGTGTATAGCTCCTCACAAATGTTAATGCTAAAGGAAATTATGTGCTCAGTGTCTTTATAACCATTAAGTTGACATCAAAAATACTATTCCAATTGAATTATTTGAAGAAATGGCTATAAAGAAATTGAAAGACTCCAAACTTGAGGAGACATCAGAGTTAACCAAATATAAAATGACCTTTAAATCCTTGCTCTCCAAAGCCGAATCTATAATGAAGGAAATTTGGGAGGAGTTGTCACAATCAATCAAATAAGTGTATGATTGGATTGAACTCGAAAACTAATCATTCGCTAATCTCATCAAAAAAAGTACTAATTTAGCTGAATCCTCTTACACAGACTTATAACTATTAGTAAATATTGTAGTAGGAACAAATCTATCTGATTGGATTGCTTAAAAGAATACTTATATGAAGGATCTTGAGGAGACCAAAAATTGGTGGGACCATCATATCAAGGGTTTTATTGAAAAGTCGAAGGAAGGAATCCAAAAGAGTCAAACATTAATTAATAAGTATTTAAATCATATGATGTGAGGATTCAAACTTATGTAGAAGAAGAATGCGAAGTTTATTAAATGAAAGAAAATCTATTTGAAATATTAACCTCCATTTAGGATATAGATGAATCTATTTATAAGAAGATTCTTGAAATAATTAAATAAGAGTAAATTTCAGACATATTAAAATTTCTATCAAAAACAAACGATTAACACTTTTATGATTCTTTCAAAAATATAAACGAGAATAGAAAGGATGTAAGATAGAAAATAAAGAAAATTACAAATGTCTTGAGAAATTGTTAATATCATTAATTTCATAAAGTTGACTATTCTCTTGAAATTCATAAAAATGAAAGATAAGATATTATTAAAAGTATTGCACAGAATAAAGGGATCATTGAGTTTTTAAAGTTTTTAGTTTAACTAACAAGCATTGATGGAAAATTTATATAATGTGGGTCGAATGCATTAAATTTCTTAGTAGGCATGAAGGTTAATATTAGGAACCAAGCTTTTGAGAATATAAAAATCTAGAATACATCATTAATTGGAGGCAGTTTTGCTCGATGCAACTTGAGTGGATCAAAATTCAACAATGTAGACATTAGTGGAGTCAATTTGAATTTTGCATAACTATTCAATTGTTAATGGAAGAACTTGAAAATCGATGAAATACCTGCGTTGGATGGTCATAGTAGTAGTGTATGGTCAGTTAGTATTTCTCCTGATGGAAATAAATTAGCTTCTGGTGGCGGCAGTATTTATTATGGTGGTGATTGTTCCATCCGTCTATGGGAAATAAAAACAGGATAATTAATAGCCAAATTGGATGGTCATAGTAAAATTGTCTATTCAGTCTGTTTCTCTCCTGATGGAACTACACTAGCTTCTGGTAGTAGAGATAAATCTATCATACTATGGGATATAAAAACAGGATAATAAAAAGTCAAATTAGATGGTCATAGTAACTATGTTATGTCAGTCTGTTTCTCTCCTGATGGAAATACATTAGCTTCTGGGAGTTTAGATAAGTCTATCTGTCTATGGGATGTCAACACAGGATAATAAAAAGCTAAATTTGATGGTCATGCCAACACTGTCTATTCAGTCTGTTTCTCTCCTGATGGGAATACATTAGCATCTGGTAGTAGAGATTAGTCTATTCGTCTATGGGATGTAATAACAGGATAATAAAAATTAGAATTGGAAGGTCATGATGGAACTGTTACATCTGTCTGTTTTTCTCCTGATGGAAAAACATTAGCATCTGGTAGTTATGATAAGTTTATTATTTTATGGGATGTCATAACTGGATAATAAAAAGCCAAATTGGAAGGTCATACTAATGATATATATTCAGTCTATTTCTCTTCTGATGGAAATACATTAGCATCTGGTAGCGAAGATAATTCTATCCGTTTATGGGATATTTAAATAGGAAGATAAAAAGCCAAATTGGATGGTCATGATAATTGTATAAATTAAGTCTGTATTTCTCCTGAAGGAAATACATTAATATCTGGTAGTAATGATAACTCTATCCGTATATGGGAGATAAACACAGGATAATAAATATTAGAATTGGAAGGTCATGATGGAACCGCTAAATCAGTCTGTTTCTCTCCTGATGGAAATACATTAGCTTATGGTAGTGGGGATAGCTGTATCCGTCTATGGGATGTAAAGACAGGATAAGAAATTAAATCATCTGATAAAAACTACAAAGATATTCTTGCATAATTTAAAATGCCACTTTAGAGTAGCTCATTATTATCAAATGGTATTTGTTATTTCTTATTATTTAGTTGAGCCAGATCGTACAATACTTAGGATTTGTTAGAATCCTTAATTAGAAGCAAGAGGTACACTTATATTGTAAGGAGAATTTATGAATCATTAAGGAAAAGATTTAAAACCTTTATTCAAATCAAAAGGAAGTTGCTTTTTGGAAGACCTTAAGTAAAAGTGATAATTATAATTCATAAAGAACATTGCAACAATTATTATTTAAATTCATACTTTATATTTTTTTAATTATATCTTTTTTTTGCTCTATTCTTTATTTTGATTTCTTAAGATTCATACTAGTTTTTCAAAAATATTCCATTTTAAGGAAATGTAGGGTATATTTATTGAGATCTCCTTATAAAAAAATCTGTTATTAATTAACATTTATAGAGATTTAATGTTAAATGATACTAAGCAAAATGAAGAGATTAAAATAAAGATAAATTTTAATTACTTAATTGAAAACTAACTTTACAGAACTGCATGATTATTTCATAAGATATTCTTATAATTTATTTAATTTATTACTATTTTTAAACATAAGTCTTAATAAATGTAATTAATAATTTTGTAATATTAGTTTAGAAATAGCAAAATATATTTTTTATAACAAAGAAAAGAATAAAGATTCATTAAGAATATATTTAAAAAATAAACTTAATATTAGAATGATAAAGTAAAATAATTAGATTGGATGATATTTCATATTGAAAGTAATGTACCAATCATCTTTGATTAGTATTTTCAATTGATATGAAAAGTATTAGATTTTATACAAGACTGAAAAGATTAATGAATCATCAAGAAATACGATATCATTGAAATTATTAAGATTTAGGGAGATAATTATACCTTCCCTAATAGCTATCTAACAATATTAATTATTGTTTAACTTAAGCTCAACCTAAATTTTAACATACATCAAATAATAAACATTTAGAATTCACTGAGATTCTGTACACATCTTAATAAAGAGTAGAACTATATAATCAAAGTCACCTTTAAGATAATTTCAAATTACATTAATTAATACCTAGACAAAAAAATAGTATCCCTTATCATTTTTTAACTTTAAAATCGTATCTATTATAAACTCATCATCTAATACAATTTCACAATTAAATTTATTCATTATGAAATTATGAATTTACCCTCAATTTATACTAAATAATTACCAAGATTGGTACTAAATTATACATATTATTAATATGTAATCCCAAAATAACGAAATTTTTCTTCTTCTCCATAACAATGAGATTAACCACCTATAGTGAAATTGGATAATAAATTTGAAGGACTAAATATATAAATAGTAGAAAAGTAGTGATATTAATCATTGCCCACATGTAAATTGTATGTGTATATCCTTTTATTAGAAAATAATTATTCACTAATAGATAATTTGGTATTTTTAAATTTAAGAATTAAAGTTTATAAAAATATTTAAAAATAAAATTAGATTATTTCTTCCTATTAAATTTTTATTTTCTTTTATCTCTTATTTGGTAGCAAAAGATTTGTATCAAATATATTTTCAAGTTATTTATGCCCTTCTACAGATTCTTTAGAAATTTAAAATTATTAAGGAATCAAATTTTCTTCCAAAATATTCCAAGCTTCAAAAGCAATTTAATGGTAATCAATAATTTCCAAGTTGTATAAATCATTATGAGTATATAGATATATTATATTATAATAATAATAATAATTATTATTATTATTA